ACAAATATTAACATTTTGTACGTGAGCACTACTGGTTTATGTCGTAGACAGGGGCTACATTTTACGAATTTAGGTACTTGAATAGGGTACGGAATTTCACCATTTTGCTCTTTTAGGTAGGTGAAACAACTTACTGACGTTTCGGACGTTAATCGTTCGTCTTTACCTCGACGAAGGAATAACGTCCAAAATGTCAGCAAGTTGTTTCACCTACTTTTTAACGGTGTTAAAATTTATCTTTAACTGTGTCTTGAATAGAGCCAGGGTTTAGAGATACCAGCAGAAGGCCCCCTTTCTATTCTTGGTCGTGTCCCCCCTTTCACCACGGAGGCATCTCATGGACACAGCAATGAATTCCAGATCCCAACACTGAAATAGAGAATATATTATATTTCAGGAGGAGCCGACGGGGTCTGTTCTTCTGAATAACTGTTCTTGTACGGATTTATCCTGGGAAAGGGATTTTGAGCTACACTGTTGACAATCTCAAATGTGGCGCCCTTCCTTCTTTAAAATAATTTTGTTCCTGGCAAACGTTTTTAAGGTCAAAAAGGCTTTTATAACGTTTTATGGTCAAAAACGACTTATATTCTGTTTAGTTAGAATTTTTTATTTTCCTGGCAAAAATTCTTAGAAAGTACTCCTTGCTTGGAGAGTTCTCTTTTGGTAGTGAGTCCATGATAACTTCTCACCAATTATAGGGCACATGCACTCACCAAATGTACATAATACACATGATTGTATAGTGCATAATACATTGCAATACACGGCAATTATATGACACACATGTTAGTACATAGCATACATCATACATAGCAATGCATGGCTGCACATGGCAGTACATTGTAGTACATAGCACTACATGGTATGCATAGCAATGCATGGCGGCACATGATAGTACATGGCATACATGGCAGTACTTGGCATACATGGTATTACATGGCATACATGGCAGTACATGTCGTACATGGCAGTACATGGCATACATGGTATACATGGCAGTACATGGCATACATGGTACTACATGGCAGTACATGGCATACATGGCATTCATGGCAGTACATGGCAGTACATGGCATACATGACATACATGGTAGTGCATGACATACACGGTAGTACATGGCATACATGGCAGTGCATGACATACATGGCAGTACATGGCATACATGGTAGTACATGGCAGTACATGGCAGTACATGGCAGTACATGGCATACATGGTAGTACATGGCAGTACATGGCATACATGGTAGTACATGGCAGTACATGGCATACATGGTAGTACATGGCAGTACATGGCAGTACATGGCAGTACATGGCATACATGGTAGTACATGGCAGTACATGGCA